TCCCCTCCCGCCCCGGCCAGGCGCGTGGCCCTGGGCCGGCGGTCACGGGCATTCCCGGGCCTCTACCCGTCTCCCGGAATTACGGTCAGTACGTTTCGGACGGCTAAGCCTTTTTTCAGTTTGACGTTATACATTTTAAACTTTGTGACCAGAAATTTTAAAACATGTGGAAGTCACAGGAGAACAGGTCGCGTTCAGGTGTCTGGGGGTGGCCCAGAGGGAGCTGCGTGAGCACGTCCAGCGACCCCCTAAGACTAGTTTCTTGCCCTCCGAGGTCCTTTTCAAAGTTAAAACTTGTAATTCTGATAGCAGTTTTTAAAAAAACTTATGATTGGTGAGCCTTTCTATGTCACAGGAAATGTCACCTATAAGTTATCGACATGCTAAATAATCTGGTGAAATACATATTTTGCAACGACAATACTGTTTTGGAAGCTTTTACCACTTTTTGGCTTCGCCAACGTTCAGGTATTTGGTGTCTGGATTAAGTGGTCCAATCATACCTGACCTTTTAACTTTTACACAATATTTGCTTAAAATAAAAACAGGTTAAATCTAAGAACTAATTTCAGTTCCACTAATGATAACATTCAGCTAATTTACTAAATAACAATATAGTTATATGCATTTATAAAAAACAGAAATTAAAAACAAATAATAAATTGTTTTAATCTTACTGGTTGCTTTCTCTGCCCATTTTCACCTTTACAAACCAGAAGGTCATGAATTTTCTCATTATATACTTCGAAGTAGCTCATTTCCAGGTGACAGCTGACCTGCAGGAACAGAAACACAGCGTGTAACTCATTTTCAAAGTTCTTGCAGTTTTTGTAAACCATGTGTCTGATAGGGGCCTGGAATCCAGAATATATAAAGAACTCTCATAACTCAACAACAACAACAAAAAACAAACCACCCAATTAAAAAACGGGCAAAGGTCTTGAACCGACGTTTCTGCAAAGATGAGCTACGAACTACCAATAAGCACATGGAAAAGCAGGCGCTCGACACCAGGTGTCAGAACCACAGTGAGGACCACTGCCGCCAGGACGGCTCTGGGCAGAGACGGGAGGCGGCAGGTGACGGCTGCGGGGGAGCTGGGACCTCCTACCACAGGGCCACTGTGGAAACCAGCCGGCCGTCCCTCAAAGGCCGCACACGGTTACCACACAACTCCTGTCTGCCCGAAAGGACTGAAAACAAATTCAAATAAACGATTATTCAAATAAAAGGCACACGCCGATGGTCGCAGCGGCCCTAGATGGAAGTCACCCAAACGTCCATCGCTGACAACTGGGTAAACGAAGCTGGGGCGCCCCCACGACGGGGTGCCATCCAGTCGCAAAAAAAGAGCGCCACGCACCACACGCCAGAGGGTCGATGAACCTCCAACACACCGGGCTCAGTGGGAGAAGCCAAACACGGAAGGTCACACACTGCACGACCAGCCTTTCGTGCCAAACACCCAGAACGGGCAAACGCAGAGACGGGAAGCAGAGCCGCAGTCGCCAGGAGCGGGGGAGGACCATGGGCGGCCGCCGCTGATGCGTGGAGGGTCCTCCGAGGGTGACGAAAACTTCTGGAACCGGACAGAGGCGCAGGGGGCCGGGGGTCGCATGGCATCATGAATCTACTAAATGCCACTGAATTTTACCCTTTAAAAATGGTTATGTTATGAGAATTTCATGTCAATTAAAAAAATGCAAAAGTCCTTGCATCTCTTCTTACGACCTTCTGGGTAAGGTTCAAGGCGACCCGGTAAGTGCCCACCTACTCGGCTTCGGACTACGTTAGACGGACGTAAAGACGAGAAGGCAAGGTTCTTGCCTGCGAGGTTCCAGCTCAGAGAAATAAACCCTCCGGCACATGAGATGGAGCAATAGGAGATTAAGAACCAACGTGACGGATCCTGACTACAAACAGACTGACTAATCAGAAAGGGGAGAGGGTCGGGTGCCCGGAGAGGCCGAAGGACGTGAGGCGAGAGATGGAGTGGACGGGACCCTGTGCGTTGACATTGACCTGGAGGCTGAGAGCTAAAATCAGTAATGCTTCCTGACTGGGCGGAAAGCAGCCTTCGGACTGAGCAGGGCTGAGCTTCTGCTCCTTCTGACGCTGAAAGACAGAGAATAAAGACGAAAAAGGGAAAATCTGCTTCCATACAGCCTTTTTGACATTTAGGTCATGGTTCCTATATTAGGGAAAAGAATTTCATCCACTGACCCTAAGTGAGTCAGCGACATCCAAATCCACCAGCTGGAGGCTTCAAGGGGGCGTCAAAGAGATTTAGGTTCAAGTCAGCAAACATCTGCTGGACCCCACTGGCTACACAGCAGTCTCCCAGGTGCTACGGGAGCAGCTGAGGTGAACCGGACATGGTCTTTATCCTCAGAGAATTCTCAGTCTCACCGAAGGTGCCGTCCAGTCACGAGTGACCCGAGGCAGAATGGCTGCTGTCACGCAACAGTCTCACCGAAGGTGCCGTCCAGTCACGAGTGACGCGAGGCAGAATGGGTGCTGTCACGCAAGGAATGAGGCACTTCCGGTTAGAGACCAGGTACATGGGAACCAAGGCACTTCCGGTTAGAGACCAGGTACGTGGGAACCGAGGCACTTCCGGTTAGAGACCAGGTACGTGGGAACACCACGTCCTCAATACGTCATCAGTACAGTGACTGGCAAACGCTACAGGTAACAGGGCTCAGAATTCAACAAACGCGCATTAACGCCCATTATGTGGGAAGCGGTGCGCTGTGTCACGCAGGCCCCAGGGGGCTTAGAGAGGAAAGCGCAGGGGGGACAAGCCAGGACAGCAGCCAGGCTCCCACGCAGGGGGGACGAGCCGGGACAGCAGCCAGGCTCCCACGCAGAGGCCGCACTCCTCCTTCTCCTCTGAGGCTCCTGCCATCTGCTGGCCGTGTCTGTCGCCTTCCACCATGCCACCCACAGACGATCGCCCTTTCCCATCCTGAGTAACTCCACACTTGACATAATCACGATCACTTCGCTGGGCCGGCTATGTGCCAGGCACTATTCAAAACCTTCTCCACAGACCAACCCACTGAACCCTCACAACGAACCTATGAGAAAGGTACCATGAGCTACCACGATCACCGTCACCATCGTCACCATCGTCACCATCATCACCGTCACCATCGTCACCGTCATCACCGTCACCATCGTCACCACCACCATCACCACCACAATCACCACCATAACCATCCCCATCACCACCATCAGCACCACCACCTCCATCATCACCCTCACCCCCACCCCCATCATCATTATCACCACCATCCCCATCATCACCATCACCACCACCAGGCACACACACGGGAGTGCATCACACGCTCACCGTGATGCACTCACGCTCACAGAGGAAGGAGGCAGAGAGCCCCTCCCCACCTCACCCCACCCACACGTCTCCCAGGAGGAAGCCTTCTGCAGTGAGACGCCCCACCCCCTCTCCACCCTGCCGCCCGAGGAGCAGGATCTAGAATTTGGAATCATAGCCCTATGAGTTTTTCCTCTGCAGCCATGACTGATGCTAACCTGCTGGGCCATCTCCTAGTCCAGCGTGAAGGCTCCAGACAGCATGAGCACCTACCTCCTGGGTATGCTTCTTGGCTACTTGTGCAAAGAGATCTTCACAAAACCTTGGAATTATTCCTGGTTCTTCACCATATCCCATCATCCTGGAAAATAATTATGAACGGGGGAAATGAAACTAATTAGGGTTTTAAAAAATTCTTTTTGGGGACATGGGTTGGGGAGGGAGTGGGGAGCAAGCTGAATGAGCCTCGTCGTCAAAGCCCGAGAACCCGGCTCTGCAGCCACCTCGGGCTGATTTCAATCTTGATGCCACCTCTGCTTAGCTCTGTGACCTTGGACGAGACACCTACCAGCCTAAACCTCAGTTTCCTCTTCCGTAAAGTGGGAATAAACGAGGGCTGTCGTGAGAAGGTACGAGCAGAGCCTTTAGCACGGTGTCTGGATCAGGCGAAAACTCAGGACGTGTAGCTACTCCTGAAATGCCAAGTACTCCCTGCCGGGGCAGGCACCGGCCCCACGCCTTTTGTCAGATGACTTCCTTGAATTCTCGCGACAATACTGACAAACCTCTCTGGGCTTCGGTTTACACGAGAAATCTCAGTCACAGGGAAGTGGGGCGGGTGACTCTTGCAAGGTGCACAGGATCTCGAGCACCAGCTGCAGCCCAGAGGCTGAGCACTGGCACCATGCCTAGTTCTATAACTAGGCATCGGGCGGATGAGGTCTGAGCCCAGATCCGCATGCCCCCAAAGCTACGTCCCTCCCACGGGACCGCACCGCGTCTCCCGGAGACCTGCATTTGCAGGTCAACTCACGTGTACGATTTCCCGGAGCCGGTCTGGCCGTAGGCGAACAGACAGGTGTTGTAGCCTTGGAAGGCTCGCGCCAGGAGAGGGGCCGCGAGGGCCTCGTAGACCGCGGCCTGGCTGGCGTAGCCAGGGTGACCGGCGTCGAAGGACCAGAGCGCAAGGTCGTAGGTGAAACTATACACGTGCTTCGTGTCGGGGTGCCTCACTGCTATCGCGCCCCCGTCCATGAAGACCACCTGGGCTGCGTTCTCCACCGTCTCTCTTTAAAAAGAGGCACAAGGAAAAAGATCGGGTCCCTGCGTCATTTTGAGTATTACTTCCCGAGAACACGAGGACCTCAGAGCTCGTCATGCATAACGTCCCCGGGCAGTTTCGCGTGGACGCAGACCAGCAAATGAAACCACAGTGGCCTTGCCAAACGCTCCTGCAGCTCCGGTGCCAGCGCCCCGGGAAACGGAGGCCCAGATTTCCTGCCTGGAAAATCGACCCGTTTTTCGGGACCTCCCGTCTCGTCCCTTTTTCCCTGGAGTCCCTTTTCCTACGCCGCCTGCTGTGACCCACCCGTGTTCTTCGGGTCAGACCTGGAAGCTCACTTTTACCGTATCGCAAAGAGATTTGGAAGGTACGAATCTACACAAAGCCGGCACGATACACGAATGTAAGTGCAGGTCGCTGGTCTCCTCATTGCCTGCGACCTGCAGCCCCGCACCCCGATCACCTCCCTCCAGCTCAGGCGTAGCTGGGGCTCTTACTCTCTAGAGCTGCAGAAAAACCTCACCAGCCCTCGTCTGGCCCCAGAATACCCCCTTTTACCCCCAACTCTGCTTTAGATCAGGAATTATCCTGAGAAGCACCTGCCTCGTGATCCAACAAGTCCCTCCACACCTGCCCTGCTGATGGCGTGTCTGCTGAGTCTGGGACCAGGCGCCTGGTGTCCGGTCCCCCACAAAGTCCTCCGGGAACGAGTCTCTGCCTCAGCTTTGGTTCCCACCAGCCTGTTTTCTCCGCTGCCTCTCACCCGGTCCCCGCCGGCTCTCCCCGAGTCGCTGACCCCACCTTCGCCCTGGCAGGCTCCGTTCCACGCTGTAACTTTAACTGCTGGCCCTTACGTTCAACCTAGAGGCCCCGTCCGCACTGCGGAGGTCACCTCGCCCTCTTCTAACCTGTTTATGTGACAGCGGTAAACACTCCTGACTCTGTGAAGTTTCTCGCAGTCGTCCCTTAAAATACTTAAAATTAGACGCCACGTGCGCATTTTCTCGTGGCCATCTCCCTCGCCCCGCCTGGAACCGGTGGCTGTCCTGGCCGGTCGTGCTGCAGAAATCGCATCCGGGACACCTCGATGACGCCGGGGATGCCCGCCACTCTGCAGGGGGCGAAGGGCCCCTCTGGGGGACAAGTGGCCTGTGTGGCTCTTTTTAAGGGGAAGGTAGGACATCTGACTAGTACTGCAGCTTTGAAAGCAGACAGTGTTAGAAACTTAGGTCCCTCAGACTTTTTAAAGCTCTAGTATCTAGAGAAATTCACATTTGCAAAAGACGGTGATTTCAGTCTTTAAAAATTTCTAGCCAATCGCCAAGAATAATCGACGCACTACAACTAAACCTAACAGTTCTCCCCAGATAAAAACGTCACCGACGAGCCTGAAGCAGCACGAACGCCCCACGTCCCAAAGGCAGGGACAAACGAGGCGCGTCCCTGCCACGGCTCGGTCGCAGGTGTGACCGGCGGGCGTACCTCTTGCTGAAGGGCCGCACGCGCACTGCCACGGTCACCTGGCTGCTCTCCGCTTCTAAGGGCTCTCTGTCCGCGGAGCTGGTCTGAGCTGCGGCCTCCTCCTGGGGAGGGGCTGTCCCTTCCCGTGACCGTTCCCTTTTATTCGCCAGGAGAGAACGTGTTGGCTCATGTCTGACTTGAGGGCTGGGCACCCCGCTTCTCGGTACGGGCGTGGCCGGGCTTGGAAGATGGGGCGCACGCCTCGGCGTCGACGTGCGTTCCGCAGCACATCTCGGGGGAGCTCTTTTTTCTAAGCTTTCAAATTTACTTGAATTTTTCGCAGCGTTCTTCCCAATACTTCTAGGATGTGACTTTCCTGTCCCCGACTCTCTGCCATCCAGCGGGCTCTGAACGGGCCTTGCCGCCCAGTATCCTGCTCTAACAAGTCCGGTCTGACTCTGGGGACCGACGGGCACTCTATGACTTAAGCACTTAAGTGCCACATTGTCATTTGGCCCACTGAGGGCAGACAGCGTTTCTTTGTATTTTCCCTCAGCCGTCATTTCGGCGACTTTCAGGTCTTCGGCTGAGGGCGCAGAAGATGCGACGAGGGACTGTTTATCATCCACGACCTGTACGTTCGCACTGGTCTCCCCAGAAGCACGGTCACCTCCTGCCACTCCCTTCACGCGCTGTGCCGCTCCCCACTTGTCCACACGGCCCGTTCCGGCACGACACTGCAGCGTGAGGCGTGTCCCTGACCTCTTCTCAGCTGAGGCTCCCAGCTCGTTGCCAAGCAGCGGTGACTCTCTGTTCCTTGTCACTCTTCTCTGAAGGGTCAACCTACCTGAAGAGTTCGGGGTCAGGTGTGCGTCTCTTGCTTTTCTACAGGCAGAAATCACATAAGTGAGGTTTATGTCTCTGACGTGACTTGCAGATCTCAGTGACGGGTCGTCGTTTTCACATTCTGACATCTCCAACTTGGAATGCAGCTGGAGGCCGCTACTGTGGCCGAGGACGTGCCGTGACGAACTCTCTGGGGAAGCAGGGGCACCAACGGGATCGCTATTTGTGCTGAGCTCAGCGTGCACCGACATGCTGGCAGCGACTTATCTTTACGAAGAATGTTGCTGAGAACCTAAGCTCTTCTCTGGATGTTCGTTTGACTTCCAGCCTTTCAGTTTCCAAAAATATCTGCTAAACTACAAAAAAAAAAAAAAAAAGAATTAGATTGCACAGATACAAACAGGCTTTAAAAACACAAGACCCTCCCCAGCGGAACATGCTAGAATGAATGACGGTCTCCAGCCCAGACACGGTTTCCTGTGGACAGCTTTCTGCCCTCAAAGGGGTGACGACGACCTTCCCTCGGCACCCCTCTACGGAGTCCCTACGATGTGGACACTGGATTTGAGGCGAGACCCCTGTCTTTACTTCCTGCGTCTGGAAGGACACACAGATAACCCTTACATCGGGTCAAACGAGCCAAGGGACTCACTCAGAAGATGTAAAAAGGAAATGTCAGCAATGAGTTTTTTAAAGTCCCCCAGCGTGGGGAGTAGGGACGGGGACTAACAGGAGTCCCAGCGCCTGGAGCACAGCGTTTTCATGCCATCTGTTGAGTGCGTGTGAATACAGGGCGGCCTCACCAATGCGGATAGAAGTATTTCCAGCCACAGAGACTGAATCCGTCAAAATCCTGACAAGAACACGTCCACGAATGTGAAGAACAGAACAACGGCCTACAGACGGGAAATGCTCACTCTATGCCCCAATCTCCAAAACGGGATGCCAAGGACTGCGGCCCGCACGGGGCGACCGTCCCAATCTCCCACGACGCGCGAGGTGATGTGACACAGGCCCCAACCTCCTCCGGAGCAAGAAATGCGGACGTCCACGCGGGACGTCCATGCACGGTCAGAGAAGGAAGAGGCTCTCGGGACCGTGTCACCAGCATCTGGATGCCGCCACGCGCCCAGGAATTCCGGGGAGTCCGTTGTGTAGACCATAGGAAAGCCTGTGACGCCGCGGATCACAAAAACTGCGAGCTGCTCCGAACGAGATGGGCCCAACTCGGCACTTGAGTGTCCTGACCTGTGACCTGTCTTGGGGACAGGAAGCCACTCTCACAGCAGAATATGGAGACAGAAGGTTTCCTACAGACAAAGGTGTTGGACAAGGGTGCATTTTATCTCCCTATTTTTTCAATCTGCACGCAGAACACAGCATGCAAAACACTGGGCTAGACTCGGAGGGAGGAGGAGTGAAAACTGGACGAAACGGCAATAGCCTGAGATGTGCAGATGGCACCATCCTACTGGCAAAAAGTAGCAATCATTTGAAATGACTTCTGATAAAAGTCAAAGAAGTAAGCGGCACAGCAGGGCTGCGTGTGAACATCGAGAATGCCAAAGTCATGATCACAGAAGAAATATACAACTGTAATAGACAATGGAGACACGGAAATTGTCAAAAGTTTTTCTTGCCTTGGTTCAGTCATCAATTCAAATGGACACTGCAGCCAAGAAATCAGGGGAAGGCCGAGACTCGGAAGGGCAGCAATGGAAGGACTAGAAAGGTCACCAGGAGCACAGATGTGTCATCAGAGTTGAGGCCGAGACCACCCACGCTCTCGTCTCCCGGTGACTGTGTACGGACGCGAAGGCCGGACAGGGAGGGAGGCTGACGGGAAAGAAACGGGCTTGTGTGAGACTTGGTGATGGTGGGGAGCCCCACGGAGACCCTGAACCACCCGGAGGACAGACACGTGGTCCCAGAGCAAGTTAAGCCCGAGACATCGCTGGAGGCAAAAGGACCATGCTCAGGCTGTCCACTCGGGCACGTCCGGAGGAGGCAGGGCGCTTCGGGACAGACGGGAGTGCCGGGGAAGCAGTAGGCAAAGAAGAAGGCCAAGTGTGAGATGGGCTGACTCCGTGAGAGGCCGTGGGCTGAGTCCACAGGTGTCTTGCAATCATAACAAGAACCACAAGGGCTGGTCCGGCCCCAACAGTGGTTATTAACAGGCTGAGACCAAAATGAAAACTACAGGTGTGTATCTAAATATGTCAACAACATCTATCCCGCACTGAAGCTTAAAAGAGAACAGCACGGACAGCCAACTTCACAATGAAGTGGTCGTATTGATGTAAATAAGTCTTTAAACTTGTGTGCCTGGTTCTCCCATGTAAAATGACTTTTGCTCAAACTACTCCACAGAGGATTGCTTTCGAGGAACAGAAGTTAATATTTAAGTCAGTCTTTTCAAGACTAAATAAATAACAATCGTGGATAGAGACATCTCCGGTCCACCTTCTTACCCAAAAGTACAGACTCTTCCTATTATGGAAATAAATTTAAAGGCAAGAAATTCCACCGCGGCTCAAAAGGCTACTCACAGGAATAGGTGCGGCTTTCGTGTGTTTGCGAAGTTTTTCCATCAGACTGCAATAAGCACGAGGGACATAAGTCCACACCCCGCCCCGGCGGCCCCGCGACTCTGTCCTCAGCTGGTCACTGCGGGGGCGGGACAGCGAATGGACCGCTCAGCGCCGCCGCTGGGCGAGCCTCCCGCGGTCAGGCTGTGGGCCGGGGGCCCTGGGGTCCGGCCACCGGGTCCCCACAGAGCTGCGGCCCGCGCGCCCCTCCTTCTGACCTCGCTGACCCCTTAGCCGCGACCGGACTCCGGGCTCGTGGGCCCTGCGCCAGGGCCTCAGCCCGCCCCTCACGGCACCGGTGCCTCGGCCTCCGCAGGGGCCCCGCCGGGGGACCCTCCGAGACCGCGCCCACGCCACTCGCCCGCGGCTCCCCGGGCCCGCAATTTGAATGGGCGCTCCGCCTTCTGATTGGCTGCTGGACGTCGCCGAGTGCCGCCTCCCGATTGACTGTTACAGGCCATCGCGTCGGGCACCGTCTTGTGATTGGCTGTTCCAGGTCGTCGCGTCGGGCGCTGCCTTCTGATTGGCTGTTGGCCGTCGCGTCGGGCGCCGTGCGTCTGCTTCCTCCCGCCCCCCGGAAGCGCCGGTGCTTGTGTCGCCCTGAGTCTGAACGTGGGGTTCCGCCGGCCCGCGGCGCGGTTCTCGGACGCAGGTGACGTGGGTTTTAAACAAGAAGAGGGACAATGACACCCCTGTCCATCCTCGATGTAAAAGAAGCGTAGTCTGTCCACCTTCGCGTTGTAAAAATGGCTGTTCGTCCCCATCTTAATCGGAATGACCAGCGCGTTTCTAGCATTTCCGATGCCAAGCGTGGAGCTAGGAAATGGACTCAACGTCTTCCGTGGATTTTTTTTTTTTTCATTTAATCCTGAAAATCCAAAACTGGGAAAACTCGCTACCATGAGAGATTGCTTTAGATGGTTAAAAATGTGGGAAAAATAATTTCTATTACAACTGTTGTCTATTAAAGTTATAATTATGAATTAAAAAGCACTAGACAATGCATGGCCCATAGACCAAACCATGATCTGTGCCCCCCAAACTGTGAGCCCAAGGTGGAGCTGTCTGTCCCACCCTGTGTCCCTAGTACCTGGCCCAGGAATGTCACAAGACCTTCAGAGAACACCTGCCACACTTCCCACTTCTTACCATGTCTCTGTTAGAGGCTCCCAGTTTAATTCCAACCACAGGAATAATGAACACTCCACAGAATCAAAAGCCACCTGTGAGCCACCTCCAGGTCACAGGAGTTTGATCTTTTATTTATTACACTGAGACAGTGCTTCTCTCTTCAAATCCTGTCCGCAGCTGACCAGCAGAGTAAGCCACTTAATCTCTGGTGCTCATCTGGAAACTGCTGAGGATAATGTCACCTACCCTGAAGAGTTGTAATGATTAAATGAAGTGATGTATGCAGAGTGATTAGCAGAGAGCCTGGCACAGGATTAATGCTCAATAAACGTAAGCTGCTAAATTGCGTAGCCCAAGAGAATTCTGCGAAACACTGAAAAGCCCTATTTAAGGCTAGTGCTGAGGAGCTGGGGTCGTGCATTTTATAGACGGTTATCATGATAATGATATATTTTACGAAGGATGAGGATTATGATTTAATCCCTAGAAATAACCACAAAATGAAATAGGGAGTCCTTTTGTAACGGACTCACCGTACCTACTAAAAGCCACACACCTGTATCCTGGATTCGGCTTCTCCATCTTCCCAGGGACCTCCCTGTCTCCCCTCTGTCTTCAGCATCCCTCTCATCTGAACAAAATAATGCTGCCACACCCCACACCTCTTCTCGCCCTCTGGCTCCCGGCTTCTCTCCCCATCTGTCTTCAGCCCCAGCCCCGTGAAGAGGGCTTAGCAGGTGCAGGGGAAGGGAGGCGCCTCGCATTCATCTGGTAGAGGCCGCCTCCGTCAGGGCCATTAGCTGGGCAGCTGGAAGTGGTAGAAGCCAGAGAGACAACACAGACTGCGTCCTCAAGACTGTCATTACGACCGAGGGGAAGCAGGAGCCACTCAGACTCCAAATCAGGTTTCTGGCAAACATGGCAGTGGAGCTAAAGGAGGAAAAGCAAGAAGCAAAAGGCGTGGGGACCCCTCCCACAAACACAGCCGAGACGTCGCAGCCCCTTCCAGCTGGAGCCTGACCTCAGGGGAGCGACAGGGTCAGTGATGAGGGCCAAGCGCAGGACGCTCCTCTCATCCTGTGAGTTTCTTCCCTCGCTCTCTCTACTCCTTACCCTACCGGTCACTTCTCAGCTCCCCGCCAGCTGACTTCTCCCCCACCATTCCAGCATTATCGAGACAGAGGCCAGAAAGGTGCGATTCCGGCCCATGAACTTCAACCTGGAATAGGGCTCTGCCTTACAAAACAGTGCAGACACGCCCGCGCCAGAGTCGCCAGTAACCCTGCTGGCAGCTCCAACCGGAGCCGACTCTCGGGCCTCGGATGACTCGACCCGTCCGCAGCGTTTAGCTGACGGGTCAGCACTGCGCTTTAGAACGCTCTTCTGTTCTTTCTGTCCTCAGCTCCAGAGTCTCCCACACCTCCTTCTCAGTCTTTCTTCCAGTGCAATGGGGAGAACAAATGGGGAGAACTGGTTTGGGGGTACAAATCAGTTTATTTTCTGGGAAAACTGAGCTTGCAGTGCCAGCGTAGTGGATAAAGGCACGCAATGGCTGGAGCTCTGGCGGCCATTTTGCTCCACGAGGATAAAGGCCATACCCTAGGAACGGAGGAACTGGATCCCTGATGACAGGCAGCTCCCGTGATTTGGTTTCTGCCTACCTTTCCACTTCATCTCTGGCCACAGACTTTCACCTCTAACCTCTTGTTCTTTATTCTGAGTCATTTCAAACCGCTTGTAGTTCTGTGAATACGCCTTCGTGTCTGCCTGTGCTTCTCGGTGCTGACAACCGATAAACTCTTGACGAGCAAATCCCATCCCAAATAATCCAGTTATTCTGAAAATAAAAGCAGGTGTTTCTTTAAAAATCCACCAGGGGGAGACAAACGGAAAGAAAACACAGCAGACGTGAAGCAAGCCGGGGTGAAGCCCCCTCCACCTTAGATCCAAGTCTAAAGGAAAATGATTCACTGGGGCCAATGAATGGTCTCAGGATACAGATTTACTAGTTTAGCCAAGTTCATAATTTTTAAGGTATTAAAATGTGGGTGGTATTTTCCTGCTTCGTCGGTGTTTTTATTGAGTTACATTTGGGTCCATCACAAAAAAGTAAGTGCAAAAGGACGATGGAAATTGATAATTTAAAGTCCAAAGGACAAAGCGGAAGTCGAGGGAACGCGAGGAGGGCACAGCACCTGCCCCGCAGCTGCGGCCGTCACCATCTCGCGGGGCACCAAGTCCTCTCTCCCGTGCGGTTTCTTCACCTGTGAAGCAGAGTTCGTGGATTGAACGATCGCAGCCAGCAATTACCGAGTCCTTTTCTCTGTGCAAAACCTGTGCATGATCTCATTTAATGTCCAGACCCCTATCAAGCAGCTCCTATAATTAGGATTATTGTTCCGTCGCAAATGACGGGAACTGAGTCTCCAAGACGTTGAATAACTTGCTTGATATTACACGTCTGTTAAGTCTCAGAGTCAAGTTCAGAACTCAGGAAGCTGGGCATCGCTGCCTGTGCTCTGGGTCACGACGCCGGACAGCTGTTTGTACAAAGGTTCTTTCTGATTGTCAGTTTGTAACTTTATGATATGCACAAGAGCTAAACACAAAGGCAGTTTCAAATTTGTCCGATTTCGTATTTTCTAAATTCTAATGAATGTTAGACCAGGAGTCCTCAAAGTGTGTACTATAATATGCTTGTACTTTTTGATCTGCTCTGGTTGATGAAATTTTTATGTCTGTAGTTGTGATCACTCGGTGACACCCTCTAAACACATTTAGCAATACTGCCAGTAATTTAAAAAGGAACAATTACAGTAAGCTAGTAATCCGTTTTTAATATAGAAAGAAGAGCTCAGGGATTAATAAATGTTCCGGCCGCTCTTTTTTCTTTGAATCACGCTGGTTTCATTCCAATGATGATTAGTAAGATTTAAAAACCATCGTCAGCCCCAAAGCCTACTGGGTAACCTATTTTTACATGAAGGAAGCTCTGGGGTTCACTTAGGACGAACACTCTTTTCAAAAGGCCAAGTCTGAGCATCAGTGGGGCATTTCCTCCCCACAGTGCTTTGCCAACACGGCCTGAGGTTTTTTGACATCCTGTGAAAAATGTTGCTGACTCTTCCCAATAGAATCGTAGCTGTTTTCCTAACATGGAAAATGACAGTTTCTAGTTACTCAGCTGTTCCACGTCGGTCCCTAAATAGTTCATAATCTCATTTCTTTTATTGGCAAAGCCCTATCCAGCAGTGTCTAGAATTGTCTAGAATGACATACATCTACTTGTTTTTACAATCACTTTCGGTTTGTGTGTTCACATAAATCAGTTTTCTCATTTGGAACACAGCATAAAGGAGACCGTGCCAAGTGGTCGCTTCTCCTATTTGTGGTTTTGAAAGGGCAGCTGCCAATTGAAAAGCCACCTGGATTGCAAGCATTACACGTCACCACAGCATGTCCACAGGGGAGCAAAGAGAGCCTTACAGCCTCATGCATAATTCAGCCATCCACATGCCCTTACCCGTTCGCAGAAGGCTTAATCACAGTCTGTTCTCTGACTCACTCGTGAAGAGAAGAAAACCACCCTCACAGAGAGTTGTGCTTTTTCACTCAGACACAACGGTCTGGGGCACGACAGAGGGCACAGTGTTCTATCTGGATTAACGTTTGAGTTTCCTCTGGCGTGGAAGCATGAATAAATGATGGCATTTTTCTGTATTCTGTGATAAATACTGTTTTCACAAGCCACGCTTTAGGTTTATATGGACTTTATGGGTTGAACTTAATTTATATGAAATTAATTATATGCCCAAAGAATAATCTTGTCACTCTGTCCTTTACTTCTCCCAGCTGCGTTTCTTAAATATTAATTGAATTTCTGTGCCACAATCTTTCCTTGGCCCAGACAGCCACTCCAACTGACAGTGATCGGGCCTGAGCAGTTTGAGATTATATCCTGAGAAAAGGAAATGAGAACAAACTTCGAGTTGATCAGTTTTCTCTCCTCTCCCGAAACGTCACAAGGGGAATGCAAAGTGCTGTGCCAGAAACCCGTTTGAAGGTCTACGGCAGGGCTGTTAAATCTCCTACTAGCCAATTAAAAAAAGTAAAAAGAAATAAAATTCATTTTAACAATATATTTTATTTAATGCAACCTATCGGAAATACCATTTCGATCCATCCATAATCAACATAAAAATTATTAGTCTTCTCCCAGACACCGTGTGTGTGTTACACTTACAGGACCAGCCACATTCTAAGTGTCTAATAGCCAC